AATTAAAGTTTAACTGACTTCAAAAAATACTAACAAAGAGCACTAAAAACCCAGCAGCAATGGCGGTTCATTTGCTGTCATTTGTTGAACAGTTCCGTTGTTTGTCTCCGAAATTCGTCAACAGATCTATATAAAAATTTAATGGAACCATTTCAGAATAAACCGAATTGATAACCTCCTCCTTTTTGAAGTCGGTTAAAAACTCCTCTGTCTACCGTTACATGGTCAGAAGACGTGAGTATATGTATGTTATGTAGGTGTGTTTAAAAGGCCTTTTAGTAAAATACTCGACTTTGTTGTGTTATCAGAGTTTTGTACTACATTTTCTCTTCTTATGTCCGTATCTATTTTAATGATTAAGATAATTCTTGTCATCAGATATAACAGCTCAGATGCTGCTCTTAACTTTTCCCGATAGAGTTAACTACTAAAGATATATAACTATATTTACACTTAAATTTATTTTCAAAATTTACCCAATCTATGTCTACATCTCGTCGCACCGAAACATTAAAATAATACAGAGATTTTACTTACTTAGTACAAGTTTAGTGCACGCAGAACGGAAAAGTACAACACGCAAACAATAGATAATTTATTTTGAATAAAGTTGTAATTAAACACCTCAACGATTATATTAAAAAAATATACGCTTTTTACTGTTTCAAAAATACCTCGACCAAAATTCATAAATGGAATATTTGTCAAATAGTTCAACTTAATTCCCATAACAGAACTTCATAACTTCGTTCCATTCGAGTGTTCCACGACTTCTTATTACGTTCACGATCATGATTATATTTATTTTTATTTATTTTATTTATTTAACTTAATGCACTAGTTGTACAAAGGCGGACTTAATGCCCAAGGCATTCTCTGCCAGTCGACCTTCGGGTGATGTAGAAAAATGAAGCTGGTGCAAGAGAAAACAGAGAATTTGACTTGTTTATATTAACCTTATTAATGTAGGATAAATCTAACTTACATATATACACTACCACTATAAATACTATAAATAAAATACTATATTCATAACTACATATATACATAGAGGTCTCAAGTATACACATACAATAGATGAATATACACATTTATAAATACATAAATATCAAAACACATAGTCGGGTACTAGCGATGTGACCATATGTGGTTAAGGGTATAATTAATATGGGGTATCTTTCTAGAATCTAGTATTACTTTTGCCGTAGGATACATCTCATCCGTGTTGTGCCAGGATTAAGAATACGGAGTATCCTCACCCTTATTCATCCCGTGGGTATGAATAAGGATGAATAAGGGTGGGGACTTCGGGAGCAAACTACGAGGGACAACAACACTGCAAAGAGATGGAAAATTTGAAACAAACCCTATACCAATCCGTCTGGCTAGCGTGGTATAGTAGGCCAAAACCTCATTTCTAAGGAGAGGCCAATGTCCAGTAGTGGACTATTATAGGCTGTTGATGATGATGATTTATTTATACTTTATGCACCAATCGGACCAAGGCGGACATAATGCCGTAGGCATTTTCTCCCAACCGACCTTAGGGCGATGCAGAGCTAAAATATGGTAGATGCACAAAAATTAAAAATGTGACTTTATGAAAAATATAGCATATATAGAATAGCATATACTTAGGGTACTTATATAAATTACATTAAAATATATTTTATTAAAATATACATATACAATTAGTAATAATGATACTAATACACACAACGCATAAGTATTCATATATAGATATACATTTATACATACATATAATTATAAATATAAATACAATTTAGAATTATCAAAAAATATTCTTGTATTTTCTAGTACACCTATATAATATAATAAAGATACTACAATAAAGATAATATTTCATTATAGCTAGTTTAAATCACTTAGCGTTTCGACTATCTAATTACCAGAATTGATGTTTTAAATTATACCTAATATCCAACAATTGACGAAGATGACAGAAAAATAATAAGCACCCACAAAAAAAACACAGTAAAAAATATAATTCTTTGAATACTTAATACAGTAGTAACAGTTTTATGATAAATGTTTTTATACGTCCGTGTTCGTGTGGTGAGGAATTAAGAATAGTGTCGCCACCCCTTTTTCTTTTTTTTTTCTTTTTTTTTTTTCCGTGCGGAAATCCCCTCGGATACCACCTGTCGGTGGCATGTCGGACTCGAACCGACTAAAACCGCACGCCGTCTCGGGTATTAATAGCCGGGGAACCAGGTATACCCTAGAAAGGAAGTCCCTGGTGCCAGTGTCGCCACCCCTATTCATAACAAGAGTCCCAATATAGGCATCGAGAGAGATGGATAATAGTTAGTCCCCTCTATCTCTTTCTAGCAGAGCTGTGTGGTTGGCTGGGGAATTTGAGGGGTTAATAAGTAGGCCCGGGAACAGGCCAGGTACCGCAGGCGACACAGGCGCCGGAGGTCGCAGAACGACCTCCGTCCTCCATAAGCGCAGGCGGTGACAGGTGAGGCCATCTGTCACCCTAGCAGAAGCAGGCCGGGGTGGCGGCGAGCGCGTTGCGAACCGCGCTTGCTTCCAGGGAGCACAGGGAACATGGGGTTCCCACACGGGGGGGGTCGTCTACTCGTCTGTAGATGACCCGAGGTATGTCGGGGCACCAGGGACTTCCTTTCTAGGGTATACCTGGTTCCCCGGCTATTAGTACCCGACACGGCGTGCGGTTTTAGTCGGTTCGACCACCGACAGGTGGTATCCGAGGGGATTTCCGCACGAAAAAAAAAAAAGGGGTTAATAAGTAGCCAACCGTAGCTTAGCTAAACAGAGACAGAGAAAACTACCGGGCATCCGTCTCTCTCGTTGCCTGTATCGCTTCCACTTACAGGCAGCTGTACCCCGTGTTCTCTCTATGGCAATATATCTGTGTTTATAGTATTTTCCTCGCCATTGTCACGTTTCTTCTCTCCATGAGAACCATCCTTAACGAAAATAAGAAAAAAATAGGTGAATTGGACGAGTTGTTTTCGAGTTTTGCGCTTATAAAAACATTTGGAGATGCATTCTTATTTATATAGATGAACAGAAATACAATATATTGAAGCAGTATTCGTACAGTAATAGAGTATAAATAGAGTATAAACTAATATTATTAAGATGAAGAGTTTGTTTGTTTGGTTAAATGGCCTAATGTCAGGAACTGTGCCGAGGACTGTTTGTTGATGTCGAGCTGGTCTATTGGGGTATATCGCCACCAGAAGACAACTGTTTAACAGCAATACAAGTATATTAGATAGTAGATAAGATCGAGCTATGCTTTTACTTCTAATTGCTAACGAAACTGACATCTTTAACCTTACATTTTTTTCCCGCGAAAACCAATGCACCTCACGACTTTAACCATAGATTAAAATAAAAAAAAATAAAACCGGTGCAGTTAATTCATATAAAATTATCTACATATACTTATAAAATGTTTTGCTCTGACTGATTCATTAATGCAGAGCCTAAACCATCACATCATCATCAACAGCCTTTAATAGTCCACTACTGAACATAGGCCTCTCCTTAGACAGGAGGTTTTGGCCTACTATACCACGCTGGCCAGACGGGTTGGTACAGGGATAATACTTAACCGCTGGGATGCAAATGTAAAATTTTGGCAGTTGATGCTTTTTATGTTGTAAGCACCCACTAAGGGGATAAAATAAGGGATGAACGGTTTACAGCAGCACGTCATTTTCAAAGTGACCAACACGAAATAAAAAATAGACAGGCGAGTGAATCCGCGGATAATAGCTGGTATATAATAAAAATAAACTAAATGAGTTACATTAAGCAAAGGGTGATTAACCAAGAGTTGTAGCTCGTATGTCAAAACGAGTTAAAATATTAAGCAAGCACTGTGTACCAACGGTTGCATTCGTTACATGGGCCCACTTGACTTGTTGCTCTTGTGAAAATTTGTTTACACAGACGTGAAAGGAAACAAAAATGGCGTACGTTGAGTTTAGTTGTGTTTTTATTGTCCCAAAAAGTGAAGGGGCGCCATGTTTGCATCGGTTAACGTGAATGATTGGGATTTTTCTTAATTATCTAGTTATGCTAATTATTCTTAATTACCAGCATAGGCTAAGACTCATTGCTAAGTGGTAACCGAGTGGATTAACACATTGCAATGTTCAGCAATCCTAGCCAGGTCAGCCTATGGATGGGTGACCATTTCTTAACACATCGCAAAGTTAAGCATTCCTAGCCAGGTCAGTCTGGGTGACCATTGTTAACACATTGCGACCCCTCCGCTCTCGTCCCGGAGAGCACGTTAAGCCGTCACAGTCCGACAATCTTTTTTTTCGATATCGCCCAGTACTTGAGTTGTGTAGGTTTGATGGCAGTCCTCCGAGTAAAAAATCGAAGCCGTATCGTAGTAAACTTAAAGTTGACAACAACCTATTTTGGGAAAATGGCTCGTAGAAAGAAAGTGGAGGTACTAAGGCAAGGTCCTCTGCACTCTATAGTGTGGCTGCTTGTGATAGCCAAGGTCTGATGTTGTTTTCGGGGACTTCCTTTAAGCTTAAGCCTCAGCTTCTCATCATCCTTACTTCTAAGGTGTACCTTGACACTCTTAAGTATATTTTATTTCCACATTATAATTTTTATTCACTCTCCTACATTTAGTTCCTTCTTATCAATAATAATACTTTGACACATCTCGCACACGGCCGTCTGAACCCAACCTAGGCAGAACTTGTACTATGGTAACCAGACTGCTGATAAACATACTTATATACTTCTAAATACACACACATTATAGATAAATTACACCCATACGCAGAACAAACGATCGTGCTCATCACACAACTACTTGTCATGGGTGGGAATGCAACTCACGACCTCTAACTTAGCAGTTCGGGTCACTAGCCACTAGACCAAGAAGCCAGTCGATCAACATAACTACAGAATATTCTAGAAGCCGGCTATTGCTGCAATATATCCGACCATCTCGAAGATTGCCACATCTTAAAATGGAAGTAACGGGTAAGATATTGCTAGAGGCGATATGTAATCGCAATATCGTCCATATTTGGTACTTACAGCTAACGCAAACAGACATGTCGCAAATTATATATTTTCGTTCGTGCAGGGAAGGTTGTAATGACTCCATACCTACTTTGTATAATGCTATCACAGCAATTCGGTCTTTTTATCACCCCACTCCATTTTAATATGACTTAAGAAAGTTAACACTGATTGGCGCGAAAATGAGAAAACAATAAATATTCATATAAGAATGACAGATTCCAAATTCAAATTTAATTTGATGTTTTTTTTTTCATCGAAACAGAATTTATGGCTAGGCTAAGTAATTATGTGTGTTGATTGTAGACAGCAGGGATGGCGTATTGATTTAACCGGTCACTTCGCCGCTTTCCACTGCGTTGAGTGTTGAGGGTTCGATCTCCACATGGGATAACACTTAGTGATGTCCACAAATTGACTGACTTTGAGATATTTATACTAGATTATTATTTTGCTAGTATGCGAGTTGTCTTCGTCTTTCTTAAAAAATTAACGCGATCACTGCACTAGCCGAGGACTCAGACTAACCGGCCTCGTGACTAACTTAAATTGTATTACGTTTTGACCAGGTTTGTCTAAATGTCAGGCAATTTAAAATTCAATCAGACTATATGTCTAGCCATTACCCCCAGACCCAGAACAAATGATCGAGCTCATCACACAATATTTGTCGCGGGTGGGAAACGAACCCATAACCTCTGCGCCAACAGACCAATAAAATTCAATAATATTTGCAAGACAAAAACAGAACTTGTGTCTTGTGTCTAATATCTGAATGTTTCTGACAACAATTTAATGTATACTTCTTTTCGGTTTCCAGCACCGAGGAGAGGACCAGGAGATGTATACCCTCATCACGAGACGAAGGCATCTGTCGTAGGTGCGGCGGTGACCACCGAGGGGGTCCCATACCTTGCATTTGTTATACGGAAAGGTAAGTTAACTATATTTTTTTTTTTTATAGAATCCGAATTAATACGTATTTAATGTAATAAAATATGTAAACTTAAAAATAAGGTAATTCTTAGGGTTTTATTCGTTTAGAGTCAAATAAGTAGAGACAGGTTTCTTGATTGTAAGTGCCAACCGCCGCTCATGGACGCCTGCAACTTTAAAGACACATCTGTACTGCAAAAATAGTCCTGAACATAGGTTTTCTGTGAGGTCTTGGTAACAATTCGGTTAATTTACCAGAGACCAATGCTTAGGCACTTAGCCGGCATTTTTGCGCCAAAGTGCCTAAGCATTGGTCTCTAACGTCCGGAACACAGAAAAAAGAATTCTTTTGTGGTCCGGAACATGCCTCTGACCTACTTGTCAATTAATGACAACGACACCTTGTAAAGTAGTGTAGGAGACATAGAATATTCCTCAGAGATGAGGAGCCATTAGAAGAGCTATTAGAGCCGTGTAAATTTCAACAAAGTAGAATGTCCGTTTTTGTATGGGGATCTGTGCCCACTTGCGTCTAAACAAATTAACTCTTATGAGTCCAGTTTTTATTAAACTTTTCACTACCAACATTATTTTATAAGTGTTTGAGCGCATTTTCGAACTATTAAAAAAAGGCGTGTCTTTTTGTGCCTGCTCCAACCAGTTCACCCTCACAGGAACCTTATAAACTCTTTTAATCATTCGCTCTTCGCTCAGTCAACTTTCAACGTGTCAAAAGTAGCACCAAATTCTTAATTTGCAATAGAAGCCAGCAAAACCGTTTGCAATGTTACACGTTGCCCCGACCTTTAATAAAAGTGGTTAAAGGGTTCGGACTTAACCGTAATCCGTAAACTACCAGGGCCTCAATTCTGCTATTTTATGTTCACGCCAAGCCACTGTCATACCACTGACACGCTATTGAGATGAAATCGAGTGATTTCCTTATAATTTGGAAATATATTACGTTTTTTTGAGGAAATTATTTATTTATTTTTCCAAATATGGCAATCTTTTTGATATCACCACTGATGGGCCACTGCCATTCCATCGCCACTGTAAAGACACTGAGTTGGTGTAGGCTACCGATATTTACACCGATGCCAATGGCCACTCGATGGCATCTCAATAGCGTGTCAGTGGTATGACAGTGGCTTGGCGTGAACATAAAATAGCAGAATTGATGCCCAATTCTTTTAAGAGGGTTGTGACCTTGAACTGCTCATACTATTGCTTGCAATCTCAAATCCACCTTCTCTTCTTAAGCACCATTATTTTAAGTACCTTTCTACCCGTAATTTTTCTATCTAATTTCTATGCGAGACTAAAGTTATAGTCTGCAAAATTGGAGCGTTTGATAAGCCTTTGTGTATCCCCGAAGGGGTAAACTCTTTGTTTTATCAAATAGATATTATTATTTTTTTGTTTACTTTACACTTTTTTAATAACTAAAGTATACGAAACTATTTCTTATAACCTTAACTATATGCCAGTACCTTTACACTTTTTTCTCACCAAATCTAACCATCTAATTACCTATTTACTGTCTATTTGTCCATCAGAAGGTTGCCTGTAAGAGATTGCTTTTTAGCGATAAGGCCGCCATTTGTACATGGTCAATAACTTGGAATACTTTTGTATGTATAATATCCTGAATGGGTGTACAATAAAGATTATTCTATTCTATTCTACAGACGTGTGTATGTATCTATGCATAAAAAGCATATGCAATTAAGTAATATATTATGTTACAGGCCTGTAAAGTTCGAGTCTGGAGCGTCGGTTCTGCGGCAAGTGCACCGCGCACTCAGAATGATGCCGTGGACTATATCTACGGACAAATTGGAGCAGATAGGTCAGTATAACACACTTTTGAAGCTACACCATCAACCAACAACCTTTAATAGTCGTCTGCTGGACATGGGCCTCTCCTTAGAAAAGTTTTGGCCTGCTGTTCCACGCTGGCCAGACGAGTTGGGTCTGTGTCAAATTTTCCTTCTCTTTGCGGTCCTGGTGTTCTGCTAGTTTGACGGGATGAATAGGGGTGACTTGGTGGCACTCCGTATTCTTAAACCATTACAACACGGATTCAGCTGGGTTTACGGCTGCTACTGACATGATGAATGCAAGGGTTTGTTTGTTTTTTTCTATCATGCCAAAACTACTCTAGCGATTATCGTGAAGTCTACTAAAGTCAGGGTACAGTGATCTTCATATAGTCGGTCTAGACATGAATGAAAATTAGGTTTTTATTTTAGTGACAATCTAATATTATCTCTGATCCGTGTGGTGACGGATTAAGAATACAGAGTGTCACCATCCCTATTCATCCCGTGGGTGTCGTAAGAGCCGACTAAGGAAGCAAACTGCGCAGGACAACAGCACTGCAGAGAGAAGGAAAACTTGAAACAAACCCTATACCAACCCGTCTGGCCAGCGTGGTATAGTAGGTCAAAACCTCCTTTCTAAGGAGGTTTTGGCTATGTCCGGCAGTGGACTATTAAAGGCTGTTGATGTGATGTGTGATGTGAATTTGATCTTTTAATATATGATATATGATTTTTGGTCTTACTCAATTAAATATTTTGATATACATTATTATTTTCGGTATTCTGTGTGTTTCTATGCTCAATTTGAATTCGAATGTTTATCCGAATTCTAGAGCTAGTTATTAGTTACTGCTCCTGCATTCTTTCAATTTAGACGTTACATTTTTCAGAGGAAGAAGGCGATGGCTTCGATAATCCGGGTCCTAGTGACCCTACCCGGGGAGAGTTGATAAAGATCAGGGAGTTCCTCGAGACAATATCAGCGAAGCTGGCCGGCGGACCCTTAGAAGGAACAAAAGTCTCACCGCTTTACGATCATCCCGCATGTGAGTGTTTACTTGTTGTTCTAATAGATGGCGTATCTAGTTTATGTTAATTAGTTCTTACATCTACTGCAAGATGGCGTTAGTAAATTGTTTTTTTTATTGTTTCTGTTGTGTAATTGTGGGTTGTGTTTTTTGTCATGTTACGATATTTGTAAAAGTAGAATTATTTCTATTGTATATGCTTTTACCTAAACCAAATGTTTTACAACTTTTAAAATAAATCACTTATTTTAAAATGTCAGCTCCAACGTGGTTATTGTGGTTAACCGTTTCTTCGAAATAATAATATTTGGACTTTATTTACGAACATTTTTAATTAATTATTTTATTTAGAGCATGTATACACCTAACATGGATGATTTAGAAAAAAACGACTTCAGTGGCAAACATTTGAGCATTGCTATTAATTTTCCACTTCATAAATTAATTCTTTAGTTTTACTCGCTATATTTATTTGATTAACAGTTGGACAGTCAGTTAAAAGTGCTTTTTACCTGAAACATCATGAGTTCACAGATGGTATAGTAAAACAATACTTGGTTGAATTGCGTAGATATTCACATGTTCGAGCGATACCACTCTGGACTGCGCAACGCGCTGACTTCGCTTGCGATCGCGCTTCGAAACGCGCTTACACGTAAGATAGAACAGGATAGCATGCTCTGTGACAATAACAAATCTTTGTAAACGTTTTCTTTTCTATCGTTCCATTTTCAAATTTTTGCATGCTTGCTGCATGTACCCTTTAAAGTTTAAATGTGGAGTTTCTAAGCTTAATAAAAAAAAAGATTTTTATAATCTGTGGGTGTATTTTGTAACTGATGGATTGAAATTGACAGCACTGATTTTGCTTCTGATTTGGTGAAGTTTTTCGTTTGTTTAGAGTTTTTGATTTTTTATTATGCACTGATTATTTGACTGTTTTGTTGCACGAATTTTTATTCTTTTATAATATTATCATATTCCCTAATTGTTTGTTGAAACTCCAAACTTGACTGTTCTAACGTTTTCTAAAAAATCTGGCCATTCCATCAACATTCTTAATAGTTCTTAATGGGTTTCAGTTTCAGTTTCAAAATAAGTCTTCTACATTTTAATACTATAATATTTAAAGAGCTTTTAAACTTTTTAAAAATACTGGGTCTTTTTTATCAAACAACATTACCACATAAACCATCGTAAAGAATTATGTAAAATGCCTGAACATATTATCGCATCATAATAAGAATCTACATTTTGCCACGCACTTTTTTTAGGCGCTCATATTTTATCAGATATTAAAAGTAAAATTGAAAATTCTGACAATGTTTTAATAAGAAAAACACAGTTTTACTGATGAAACACTTTTCCAACCAGTAATTTAAAGAAAAATTACGAGATAATAATATTTTTGATGCAAACATTACTGTAATACCATAAAGCCAAAGTTATTTAACTGAAATCAGAAAACAATAGCAAGTCGCTAGTGACATTTGAATAAATATTATTCCTTTATAGTTAGTAGAAATATTTAAGTTTGCATAAGATTGAGGTGTGTTAAAGACTAAAGGTGATTATTCTCTGGTAATGATTTTTTTTTAATAATAATAGTAACGGTACTCATCTCATACCGCCGTTTGGTCCCAAACTAGGCAGAGACTTAACTATCGTAACCAGGAGGTCAATTCTCGAAAAATTCATTCAAAATTCATTTCCGATCTAATCTCGTTCGTTCTCGTCATAACAGGTAATCTTGGAGTATTTTATCGTAAGTAGTAACGTATTATATCGAATTGTGACCGTAAATTAAATCGGTATTCTGCTAGTCTTAGTAATACTATACTACGGCAATATCTTTTATGACATTTGTAAGATAAAGAGTAGATGGGAACTGAATTTTGAAAGAATTTTTATTACGAGACTGAAGAACAATTCACAAGAAAACTTGGCCAAGGCAGGTGATAGGCCAATAACAAAACCAGGTAACACCCTTTGCAATGTTACAATTTACGCCGACTGCAAATATGATCACATCATCAACAGCCTTTAATAGTCCACTGCTGGATATAAGCCTCTCCTTAGAAAGGAGGTTTTGGCCTACTATACCACGCTGGCCAGACGGGCTGGTACAGGGTTTGTGTCAAGTTTTCCTTCTCTCTGCAGTGCTGTTGTTCTGCGTAGTTTTCTCCCTTAGTCGACTCTTACGACACCCACGTGATGAATAGGGGTGATGACACTCTGTATTCTTAATCCGTCACCACACGGACAACCTTTGTGTATTACGTGAATGTAAAAAGATGATCATGATGTTCAAAATATCAAAGATTGCTTGTAATATTTAATTACTTAAAACCAATTGAACAATGATTTTGAGTATTAACTTGTGACGTCAATCGTCAACTTTTTTTGGAAGTCATTCACCTCAGGGATATTATTTTTTAAATTGGCGATGTGTATGGTTAGCAAACCAAAGACTAAAAACATTTCAATACCATTAGTCTGGTCCTAGATGCCTCTAACCAAACCGACAGTACGTTGCTTGGGAGGTTGTTCCACCGCTTCTTCTTCCCAGCTAAAACATTAGGAACTGTTGGCGGGTTGGTCATTTTTGAGGTACTGTCTTTATGAAAACAGTGACGTTAAAATAGTGCTGGCACTCTCATAGGAAAGACATTATAAACATGTGGTCCTGGCCTCATTGAGCTATACAACATTGGTCTCTATTCTCCTCCTATCTTACAGTATCTCTGAGTCTAGTAAATCAGATCAGAGGTCGAGTTGAAGACGCTGGTAGTTAAAATGCAGATGCAAAGCCTTATTCAGCAACATGTACTAATACCAATGACTAAATGTTTACAAGTTCTATAACATTGGTAACTATGTATTTATTTTCTGACCCTATGTCTATACTTTTTACTTATTGCGTATATTTAAACAAAATGGTTTTTCCAATGTCGTAAGCTATTGAACATCATTATGTTAGGAAGTTTTTGCGAACTCAACTTTGAACCGTGTTTGAAAGTAAAAAATGTAATGGTACTTTGGATATTTTTTTTTTATAAAGATAATTTTAAATGTTATGCTATCTAATATAACAGAAATCATAGCAAGTTTAGTTTAATCGTGTACAGTAGTACACGATTTCAGGTAATTAAAATCACAAATAAAATCCTAATCACTTCACTGGATTTCAGCAATGCCTTTCATATTGTTAATATCGCCATTCTGCATCATTTTCAATATATATTGTATTCTAAATAACCCTCTATTACCATATCTCTCATACTGATTGATTAGTTTTAATCTTATCTCATTGGCCAACGAAGGTGGGGAGGTAATCCTCTGTGAGTTATCAGGGTGTTTCACAGGGTAGCTTCCTATCTCCTTTAAGATAATTCATAAATCGCTACTTTCATGTAGGTATCTTGTTAAGGAATCTGATAAGAAGAAATTATAAAATAAATAAAATTTAAGCCTGCACACCAGGACCATTACCTGATTTGACAGAAACTTAAAATAATAACTAACGTGGAATAAGTATGAGTATAGGACTGGACTGCACTAACTAACTAACTAGAAGCGAATCTCTGAGAGATACGCGTTAGTTGGTGGCCCCAGAATTCAATCTTAAATCAATCGTGAATACAACTATTACGTTATTTAACTTTCGCTACTCAATAATCCTAAAATAAAAGCCAATTAGAAAACTAATTCTAGACTACCAAAAAGCGGTCCACCAATCTAACGAACTTTCTACATACGTGAGGCTCTTAATCTGTCAGCTCTGTATTCTTAGTGTTTGACTTCCAACTACAATAACTGCCAAGCTTTGGTCATCGAACACGCTTGACCGCCTCATTTTACATGTCATTGACTACGAATTGTAATTGCTAATTGTTGAAGTGAAACATCATAGTAATGTTCACAAATCAGATGATTTACAATACAAATTCATTAATTTAGTTGCCGGTAATTATCATAAGTACGTGAATTGGGTAAATTGACTGACTCGAGTACATTTTTTTGCTAAATTCTCTGGTGAACTGATTTCGGTGAGAATGTTTTTAGAATAAAATTTCATAAGAAGAATGGGAGTTTCATACGCTTCTTGAACCCTTTCTAACTAGTTTCCAGTTCGTTTGATAAAATAGGAATTTGTCATAGAAGTTTTCGTAACAAAAGCAGAGGACGAAATTAAAAAAGTAATAGAATCAGGAGCTCTGATCATGTTTTTTATTTACTTAATTCTATACTTTTATAGAATGACTAGGTAGGGTAGATGAAAGATTCGATAACTATAAAGTTATACATTTCGAGAAAGATTTATTAATAGAATGATAAATGGCTATTTTTGTTAATGCGTTTAAGTAAATTTGCATGCCACGAAGCACTTGACTGATGATGTAGTGGTTTAAGCGGTCGCCACGCCACTTACTACTGAGTGTTGTGGGTTCGATCCCCACATGGGACGACACTTTGTGTGATCGACAAATTGTTGTTCTGAGTCAGGGTGTTCTTTGTGTCCGTTTCATGCATGTTTGTAAAGTCCCCAGCGACTGTCTTTTAAAAAAAAGCTTTGTAATATGTAATAATTTATGTGCGTGTGGTCAATTATAACGCTTGAACGCCTAGACTGTGGTTATCTTTAATACGAGATTAATTCATTAGTTACCTATTTAGACGAAAAAACTATGGCGTTCAAGAGCGCAAAAAATGCGCCTCGGTTTGAGAACACCTCCCTAACTGCCTCAGCCCGTATCGATATCTTGGCATTGACATATCGAGTGAAATCCAGGTTCGCGGTCACTTAGGGGGTAACGCCAAATTAGTCTCGAAGAAGCTTTGTGTGCTGAATAGACCGAGGCACGGATGGCGTAGTCGTTTAAGCGGTCGCCACGCCGCTTACTACTACGCTAAGTGCTGTGGGTCCGATCCCCACATGGGACTAAACTTTGTGGGATCCACAAATTGTTGTTCTGAGTCTGGGTGTTCTTTGTGTCCGTTTGTAAAGTCCCCCGCGATACAGGATATACTTATTCCTAATGCGTCTTTAAAAAAGAAAAAAGGCAATATTTCGCACTGGCCTATCTCTGTGCAGGAGCACCCCAGTTCCAGTTTTTCCCTCTGGACTGCATCGGACGGAGAACGATTCGAATCGTCGATATCCAGAAGATCTCTAATAGGCTTGAAACTCGGCAGCATGTAGAGTTGTAGCTTCACTCTGCATTCTCTATCGTCTGTCTTATGGAGAGTGCTCCGAGGAATTATTCGGACTAATACCGACAGAAACTTCCCGCCATCATTTTACGCGGCAAGACTTTCATCCCCATCACTTGGAAAATTGATTTCGATACCACCTTCAAGAAAAGATCACTAATCTTTCCTTAAAGGCTGGCAACACGCTTGTGACTCCTGAGTTGCAAGCGTTCAGGCGCGACCCTTGTTTGCTAGTCGTATCATAAAAAAAACAAAAGAGTTTTAATTATGAGCAGTACAGCTTATAATTACAATTCTTTAATACTAATGTACATTTTCTTAGATATGTGTATGTTAAAGAAAAATGTGTTTACTACCATTGTCCTACAGCATTTTTTTAATTAACAAAGTAGGTTCAGTGAGATCCCCAGTTAGGTACCTACGTAATATTTATTTACATTGACTTTTTCTGTTCCCTTCACTTCATTAATTGCTTCGATATTTGTCATTTA